TTTTTTTTTTTAAGATTTTATTTATTTATTTGACAGAGAGAGACACAGCGAGAGAGGGAACACAAGCAGGGGGAGTGGGAGAGGCAGAAGCAGACCTCCCGCAGAGCAGGGAGCCCGATGCGGGGCTGGATCCCAGGACCCTGGGACCATGACCTGAGCCGAAGGCAGACGCTTAACGACTGAGCCACCCAGACACCCCAGAAATACAGGATTTCATAACTCACAACAGAATCAAAGAACAGAGGGTCCTGCTTTGGCATTTCAAAATTGGACAGACCCTTCAATGAGAAGGCCACAGTCATAAATATTGATGGAGTTCTCTTAACAGGGTCTCAACTTCGATTTACAACGATTAAACTTTTTTCTTTTTAATTTTTTAAAGATTTTTGTTGATTTATTTGAGAGAGAGAGAGAAAGCACGAGCAGGGGGAGGGGCAGAGGGAGAGGGAGAAGCAGGCTCCCTGCTGAGCGGAAGGCAGCTGCCCAACTGGAGCCAGCCAGGCGCCCCAAAATGACTAAACTTTTCAACTTAGAGTAATAAAAGATTTCCCGATACAAACCCCTATGGCCTACAAGCCTTATGCTAACCGCCCAACAGCCACCCGTAGTCAGTTTGAGAAGGGCTGGAAGAAACCCGTGGTGTGGCTGGGCCCGTTCCTTGCAGGCCTCCCTTGCACAGGCAGAGCGACCCAGCAGGGAAAGCAGTAGAGGTTGGCAGAGGCCAGGGTGAACAGACATCCAGTGAGGCTCACAGGCAGAGAGAAGGTCGGGGCAGCCTGAGGCAGAGTCCAAGTCTGTACGCCCTTGGCCTCGGAAAGCTGCCATTGCCTGGGGCTCCCAGCTACAGGCCACAGGACGCCCTTGGTCTGGAAACGGGAGTAAGAGCAGCTTAGGCTGGTGCCTGGTATCCCTGCCAAAGGTGTCAAAGGCAAATTAAACTCAGACTTTTGTGGGACACACACCCTTGAAAATAAAGAATGTAAAAATAAGAAAAAAATCAAGAACACTGTTTTCTTTTTTTTCTTTTTTTAGATTATTTATTTATTTGAGAGAGAGAATGAATGAGATACAGAGAGCATGAGAGGGAGGAGGGTCAGAGGGAGAAGCAGACTCCCTGCCGAGCAGGGAGCCCGATGCGGGACTCGATCC